ACCTCTCCCCATTAATCTTCAGAAGATAAGATACTGTCTTATGTGAGTCTTAAAATATTTTTATAAACAAGTCACTGGTTGCCACTCATGTTCTTGTGGGTGAAAAAAGTCATAAAATAGTACTATTTTTTCTTTTATAATAAAGTTTACTAAAAGTTAGTATTATGATTTACTTGGTGTTAATTTCCTTAGTTTTGCTGGAAGTAAGCATTGAAATCACACTTATTTTCTGATAATAGTAAAACATGTTCATCAAAGAAAATGTAGAATACATAAAAAGTATGAAGCAGCAAACAAAAATCACTTGTAATCCTATTATGTAGTGTTGAGTATGTAACAGCTAACAATTATCATATGTTTACAAATCAAGTATTGTTCCAAGTGTTTTGTTTAGATTGACTCATTTATTCTTAGTAACTGCAAAAGACAACTTCCTAGTGCAAGAAACTGAGGCTTAACTTGGCCAACATTCTCAACCACTACATGCGAATATATGTTTTTCAAAATGGAATTATAGAATTATATTTTATATACTAGTCTGTAATATACTTTGTCCACTTCAAACATTTAAATATATTTCTTTCATGATTACTATTAAAAATTCCATAGTTGTGCCCTAACCGGTTTGGCTCAGGGGATAGAGCGTCAGCCTGCAGACTTAAGGGTCCCAGGTTCGATTCCGGTCAAGGGCATGTACCTTGGTTGCGGGCACATCCCCCCCAGTAGGGGTGCAGGAGGCAGCTGATCGATGTTTCTAACTCTCTATTCTCTCTTCCTCTCTGTAAAAAAATCAATGAAATATATTTTTTTTAAAAATAAAAACCAGATTTCTCTTCTTTCTCCTCTATTTACAGAGAAGAAGGAAATTTCTAACCAACAGAAAAAGAAGAGGAGGAAACAGTCGTGGATTCCTCCGAGTCCCAGGATACTGCTCCCAGGAAGTGAGTTGATTTAATGGTAGTAACTTAAACACAGAACAGAAAGTTTGCTCTTTCATGAGTGAAGAAAGCTGTAGCCTTCTACCTCGGAAGCTTCATGACTGACAGAGTCTGAGTAGCTCCTCGATCCAGGGTGTAAGAGGCCATGGGGGTCCAGGAAAGGCCTGACCCCACTCCAAGTCATGTAAAGGACATGAACTTGGCTTGCACCCCAGTTCTTGTGATCTAGGCAAGCAGAC